GTTAAATGTCATAAATTCCGTTTTCATGGATGCCTGGATGTTAAACTCAGTTGTTACACCTGGTAGAGCGGAACGCTGATCATTTTATTAAAGATGAAAGACTTTAGACAGTTTTTCAACTCTCAGTAATGCCATAGTGATTGTTTGATATATGGACCTGCAGCGGAGTTTAGGTCCAGACACGGCTAGTGACGTCAGACTGAACAACCGGATAATACCTGGTGGGCCGGTCTCTAGTCAAAATGCCCGGGCTGATTTTTTTGTCCACGTCCAGCCCTGCCTGTCAGCAAAAACAAACCAAAAAAAAAACCCCACCCTTTCGTATTGGTGGAAAAATGTACCATGTCGACCAATCAGAAATGATATGGCAACATGCCATTTAGTTGTTTAGGAAGAGGGAAGTTTTAGGAGTGACAGCGGTGTTTTGAGATGTGAGAGATTTGCGACATTTAGCGCAAATCTTGTGTAGTTAGTGTGTAGTGTAGTCAATAGTTTTGTTGTGTGCGTCAGAACAATGAGGTGACTAAATGTTATAGGTGTTACAGCAGTGATACATCTCCTGTTGTCAGGCCTGCAGGTATCAGGCTGTTGTTCTCCTTTATCTCATAGTGGACAGAAATTATTTTTTGGAGTGGCACAAATAATTTGTGTGGCATCAAATTGACTATGTGCAAGTTAGCATATGCTACTTCCGGTGCGGAAACTCCTGTGGGGAGCTTTGTTTCCGGTGTCCTATTCGCGCCCTGTTTACGGTCCAAAACAAGTTAAGCAAATGAATGCATCAAGCGGCGATTTACATTTCTATAGATGTCTCGGGCATTTACCCAATATATCTGTAAATGATGTTCATCGACTTGTCAATATTTTTTCCCCGCGCCTCAGGGCAAAAGAGAAAATGGATTCAAATGTTATATTTCTCAGCTGTCCCTCGTTTATCGCGGGTGTTATATTCTAGAAATAACCAGCGATAGGTGAAATCAAAAAACTTTGTTTGAATTACTCAGTTACTTTTTTTGATGAAGTAACTATATAATTAATTGCCCAGCATTGCTCATTATATACTGTATTTTGCAGACAGAGAGTTACAGGACTCTCTCCCAGACCACAGACTCATAATACAAGTCAGAGCTTTATTAAAAAATTAAAAAAAAAGAAAGTTGTGTTTTCAAAATTGGAGTTCAAGTTATTTTTACTTCCAATAGTGTTAACATACTACACAGGTCATGAACAAGACTTTTTTTTTTTAAATTTTCATAAGCAGTTAATTAAAAGTAGTCTAACATAAATGTAAATGCTGTAATTTTAATAAACCATGTAACTTGGATGGATTCGATGCTGGCGTGACCACAGTGCACACGTCTAATTTTGCTCACAGTGGTCCAAGGGACCGCTCAGGGAGTTTGTGTGTTCCCTCAGACACATGAAAAATTAGAGGGAACATTGGTCTGCTCTTGCCCTTTCCTCCAAAACCACAGGGAGTGATTAACACAACATTGCAATGCTGAAATACAGTGCTGCTATTTATTTAGTTGCATGAGATTAAACGCAGGTTTGTTTTGGACATGCCATAGACGAGGAAAAAATACATTTCGGTAACAACTAAAATCAAGAATCTGCTGGTGCTTCAACTTTACTAAGAATAGTAAATCTGCAAGCATTTATGCTGTAAAATTCTATGTGTATTGCTATAGTTTAAAGCTGGACCTGTGTGCCAACAATACTTTGGGATAAAGTTTAGCAAATAGTCAATTCAAAGTATTTATTATGTATATTTACACCTGCCCTTCTTCTACAGTGAAATGCTGGTATCATCTTTTAAAAAAAAGAAAAAAAGCTTCATACTGAGAAAGTGTTTATGACCAATTCAGCTTAAAAAGGTTAAAATGTCTTATGGCGTGCTTTTTTCGGTACCCTCTTCACATTCATTGCCTTCTGATGCTCTCTCCTCCTGAATGTTAGCAATAGTGAATCCTCCATGGGATGGTTGCTTGTCTTTGTCTTCTTCGGTCATTCCCTCTGCCCAGCTTTCCCAGTTTGGCTGGTTCTGTGGTTTTGGACTTTGCAGTCAGTCAGAGCCATTAGCTGGTGTGCCTGGCTGGCACTGCAGTTAGGTAGTGGTACCTTGTAGGTGGTGTGGAACCAACGCAGGTCCACTCTGAATGAGCCCTTCTCCAGCGTCATGCATGGTTCAAAGCGAGCACCCCACTCAATCTCTGTTTCAATATAGGATGTTTTGGCTTGGCGCATCATCCCTGTGTTTAAAATAATGACATGGAAGTGCCTGTTAGTTTTGAAGTGAAGTGAAATCACCGTCTTAAACTGAAGTACGCATCATTTGCCACAAGATGTCTCTGGTGTGTTTGAATCCATTCGAAATTACCAAAATAAGAAAGTAGGAACTTGTCATTAAAAGTATCAACTGGCCAAATTTAGATGAGTGATACTGATTTATTTATTTATTTTTTTGCAATAATTTTTTTTAAATTCTTGAGCTTTATTTTGACATTGACATTAACAATTTCCAACAGCAAAAGTATTGGGGGGAAAAGGAAGGTTTTGATTTTACTAGAAATATCTATGTACAAATTATTTAGTTTGTTTGTTGTTCCTAAAGAGTTTCACCATAAGAAATTATATTTTCTTTTAAACTGAGATTGGAAACACTTTAGCCGGAAGAACAGTTTCTATTTGAACTTGATGCTATCTTGTAAAGATAGCATCACTGAAAGGTTTGAATACCTACTGTACAGTCATGTGAAAAAGAAAGCACACTTTCTTTCAAGTCTAAGGTTTGACACATTATAATAAGAAAAATGGTCTATTCCTTCCAGAATAAAGGAAAATATGATGATTTATTGCAGTGTGTCATTATTTATGTGACAAAAAATGAGCCAAAATGCAGAAGTAGTGGGTGAAAAATATAGTACCGCTGTCTGACAGCTAAAGCTTTACCCATATTAGGTAATGCAAGAAGATCAGGGTGTTAAGCCCAGCAGCCAAATCTGAAACAGAATAAAAAAAAAAAACCCACAGTATTGCAGTGGCCCTTCACTATGCAACTTATTTTGTCTGGACCTTAACATGTTTGAAATGTTGTGCTTGAGCTCTGCAAGAGCTGTGTTTAAACACGTACCTGCAGTCCTAGCTTCAATTTTTCACACACTGCTTCTAGATTTTGCTTCAGTTTTTGTTAAATAAACAATGACACAGCATGATACCATGTGATATGTGTCTGTTGTTATTCGTCTTAATTGATTGATTTTTATTATGGACTAGCATATAAAAAGAGCGGGCACTTTATTTTTCACAGTTGCTGAAGAATGTATGAAACAAACCACAAGGTCATAATTTGCTGCAAGAAAATTATCTAGAATCTTTAGGAACCACGTCAAAAAAAAAGCAGTATCAGAAATTTGGGTTTTTGGTGTGTTATTTTGCACTTTTTTCCACAACGGAAAGTCTAAAATTAAGAAGAAAAAAAAGGGTTTCAAAAAAACCAATAGAATTAAAACTTTTTTTGTTTTTTGTTTTTTAAAAAGCCTAAAAAACATCTGTGGTGACAATACCAGATATTGTCACCACTCTAATAGTTTCAGAATGATGCAGTTGAGCTTGAGCACTACATGGGAAAGGAAACTCAGATGTAGATATGTGATTTTGTTTTTCTATAAAAAACCTTCTGCAAGGTTTGTTTTCCTGCTTTCCATACCAAAAAGATGCCAAATAAGCTGTTAAATATTTACATTCTGACTGCATTGTGGAAAGACAGTTTTCCCATCATTTACCCAGGAAACTGAATGACTTGTTGGCCTTCTCATAAATATAAATATTCCAAGATTTAGAACTTGGCAGACAGACTTGCTCTTGATAAACAATCATAGTTTTAGGGAATTGCACAGTTTACTCATCAGATGGTTCATCAAAGTCTGTTATCTTTTGTAACACTCAACCTCGGTGTGCTTTTACAGCTCAGAAGGCTGGAAATTAAATAAGGGAAAGCTTGTTGTTGCTGTTTCAGTGGAAATTGCTTTTTAAAAACCTTTTAACCTATAAATAAATCTTCTTAATACTTACTAACTCTTAACTATTTATACACAGCAAACCATGACCCAAATGAAGAGTTCTTTAAACATTATAACATTTATCTATTTGACCTGATTATCCACATTCAATAACAACTGTGCAGCCAGCACCAAGGACATTTTTGTGGAGAAACGGTAAAGAAAGAATAAGAAACATCTGCAAGTGTTTAACTTCCAGAGGAGGAGGAAACGAACACTATCGCAAATAACCCTCACATGGGCCCCTGAAGTTTCTGCAGCAACATTCTAAGCTGTGTCTGCAAAATCGTAGGGGTATCCAAGGTTTCTGTGTGTCAAAGAGTGCACACAGTATGTGAATACACAGCAAAAGAGCAGGGTAAAACTGAACTGTAATGACTGCATGAGAACCATGGGGTTGGGTGTAGTCAACAGCTGTAAATAATGAGCATAAACCTTAGTTATAGCCAAGTTCAAGTATTACAGAATTTTACCAAGCCCTCTTCCAGAAAAAGTGGTGGGTGAGATTTTTTCAGGTGTGGTTTTTTTGGCAATCATTAAATGTCTGGTCCACAAAAAAAAATCCTTCTTCTGTAGCCCTACAGTGAGGGAAAAAATCAATGACTGAGAGAATACTGCATCCCAGTTTCCTAATTCCTGAAAACTATTATTAATGAGGCTACTAACTGGCAGTGCAGGAGTAAATGGTTAGCACTGCAGCCTCAGATTGAGAGGGTTGCTCTGGATGGAGTTTTAATCATTTCTCTGTACTTGCATAGCTTTTATGTGGAAATCCCATGCTTCCTCTCACTGAACATGCTTTCTCTCACCTCCTATGACATTCTTGCAAAAAAAACCCCATCTTATTCTCAAAAACAAAGTCAAAGTAAAGTTTTTTGCAGTTGTTTTATATTAAAATGAGACTTTTGGAGGTACGAGTAGTTTCTTTTTGAATGTCAATTACTCACCTGTGGCCTCAACAATTCCTTCTAAAATAACGATGATCTCAAACTGCTGTCTTCTGAGTTGCTCTGGATCCAGCTCCCACAGCGGACTGTCGCAGTCAATATTGTGCCGAATGACTTGAGGCTCCACCAGGAAAAGTCGGTCTGAGCCAGTTTCATAACCAAGGTTAATCTCTGTCTGCTCGAGAGGCAAGAACTCTCCCTCTGCTGTTTGCCGGGACTTGATTAACTTTGCACGAACCTTTGCGTCCACCATGTGACTTTCTCTGAGGTCTCCCAGGCGGAACATCAAGCAGAGCTGGTCATCCCGGTTAGCAATGACACAAGTGCGACTAAAAAGAAGTGTCTCCGCTTGCTTCTTGGGTCGGGATATTTTAACAAACATGCAGCCTACCATGAGAGCATCTATCATGGACCCAACAATGCCCCAACAATGCATTGCGTCATGACCAGCACCACACCCTCGTGGCAGCTGGGAGACACTGTGCTGGGAGACACCATTGATACATAACCAATGGTGCGCTGTGTCTCCACTGAGAAAAGAAGAGCAGAGATAAAATCATCTACACCCAAATAGCAGGGTGCGTGGTCTATGAGGTTTTCTTCAGGGGTGGTGAGTGGCTTCTCCTTTTCTAGGTCACCTCTAAAGAAAGCATTCAAGAAGTAGAGCACAGCAAAGAAAAACCAGGTGACAATGTAGCACATCATGAAGACAAATAAGAACCATCTGTACTGGAGGTCCACAAAAGAAGTAAAGATATCAGACAGGAAACGGCCCCTTTCTGAAATATGACAAAGGTTGACTCGGCACTTTCCATCTTTGGCGACATAGCGAAGTTGTTCTCTTGTTTCTGGAGTGATGGTAGGGGTTTGGTTACTTTCACTCTCTAGAAGTTTACTCATGGCGTTTGCAAGCTTCTCCATCTCTCTAGCAGGGCTGGATATGTTGCTTTTTGCCGGTGAGAGCGACGTGCTGTGGAGCGGACTGTGGGTAATGACATGAAGGGGACTAATGCAGCCGATTTCAGGCACGCTGAGGGCATGGCGAGGGTAGCGTGAAAGACTCTTGGTCTCCCCGAGTGAGCAACGACGCAAGAGGTCTTGTTCTCTATCTATAAGACAATGAGTATAAGAGGGAAGCAAAGAAATGTTGCTTTGGTGAGGAAAGTCTGTTGTGCTTTTGTGGCGTTGTCTTGCTGTTTTAAGGTCAGAAAAAGTCCCTAGCATGATATCTGGGAGAGGAAGCATCATGTCTGTATCTGGCTGGAAGGGGAAAGAAAAGTGCATTTTTAATGTGCTTGCAAATTCATGAAGGTCATTTCAGTTCACTGGGATAGACTCCAGCTTCACTGAGGCTAAATTAGGTCATGGCTGAATGGTGGGAAAAACACAGGAGGAAAAGCAGCTACATGGTAAATCTTGGGGGAGCAAACATTTTTTTGAACTTGTTGACTTAGCTTTTAGTGACTTTTGTTGACTAAAAGCTTACATGACATTTTTTATTTCTCCTCATTAACCGCACAGAGAAGGCATTGTTTAAATATGTTAACGTTTTCTTTAAGCAAACAGTATTATTAAAGTTCTTCATGACTGGGCCAAGTGTCCTTTTTTTTGGAAATCAAAATATGAATCACCCTATTAAATCAGTACTTCGTAATACAGCCCACAAGTACAGGGATAATGTAAATATGGTCTCCTGAGAACTGAGAAAAAACTTTCAGTTTAACTAACTTTTGTGATTCCCTGCCTCACTGGGGCTAAAAGAGACCACCCAAACACATGAGACATCATTGGAAAGGCCACATCAGGACTTAGTCAAAATAAGAATACGGTTGATTGGTCAAAGACTATTTTGTTCTGGGAGTAAGTGCTCGGAAAAATGTCACATTCATAATATTATCACACAAGGGCAGACTGGAAAAGACTGTGTGTGACCAACTTGTAAGATTTTTTTTATCACAAAACTTTCAGGTTTGACTTTACAAAGACATTTGGGGGGAAAAAAGTTTGGAAAACAAAACTCACTGTCTTAAATTTATTGAATAACTCTTGCACCTAACCTCGTCCCCCGAAGGTGTGGAATGGACAACCATGACAGATTTCCGTTGACAGGGCATAGATGTTCGCCATCCCCTCGTCTCATTCTGGGTGGTTGTGGGAGGTCCCATGGCTACCCTACTAATTTATGTTAACTTGGAGCCAGGACAGCATGTCCTCTTCAGATTATAGTCTTTTCTTTCAGTAGATCACATCAAAGGAATCCAAAAGCAAAAAACACTTGCAGCAGAGAATTGTGATCGAGTGCAAAGTCTTCCCATTGATTGTAAATACTAGAACAAAAGACCAGATTTTCAACAGGGTTTGAACTTTTAAACATGCAATAATAGAGTTAACACTATTATTCTTGCTAGCACCATCGTGACTGGCAATAAAATTCCGAGGTATTTCTGGATGACTCACAGAGTAAATTAATCCAGTGCTTACTTCCAGAATGAGCTATTCTCTGAGTCACTCTGTGGCAATGTTAAAGCAATGTTTCTAAAGAAAAAAAGGAACACTGACGAGCAAAACACACTCAAACAGAAAGCATTAGCTAGATAAGCTGGACTAAGCCTAATCATGCTGTCTCAGCCTTCTGCAGAGTAGGGTAGAGTGGACTCAGCTACTGTCTAGTTCAAATAATCCTAAAAAGGCTAAAAATCTAAAAATGACTAACGCGACAGAAAGTTTGGATATGTGCCGGAGGTCACATAGGCCTATATGACCTCCTTTATATATAACTTAATATATATATATTATATATATTAAGTTACCAGGGCGGCGGGGGATTCTGTGGCTGGCTGGAGCAGCATCTAATAACCAACTCAAAAAATAAAACAAAATAAAAACAAACCAACAAACATGAAAACACGAGACCTTATGAGACAGACTTATAATTTGCACCGATGTTTTTTCGAAATTCTATACGCGAAAAGTGAGCGCGAGAGCCCTCGGTGCGCCTGCGCGCTGCTGAAGTCAAAGTAAACTTTATTGTCATCTCCGCTACATACAGTCCAGTATATAGAGAGACGAGACGACGAGGCTCCAGTTACAGCAGTGCAAGTAAACAAACAATAAATATAAGAAGAGTAAGAAAATAAATACACACTTTAGGACTCGGGGTAAAGGGATCAATAACAATTTAAAATTTATAATTTACAGTTTGATGATCTCACACACAACCTGTCGACAGGGGAGGGAGGCCGGCTGCTTCCAGATAGAGCACATTTCATTCATAATGATGTAAATCCAAGCCCATTATCTATTCATGATCTGAATCCTGGGTTGTGTGAAATCCCAGAAATGCACCCTAGAGAAAGTGAATCTGTGAACTAGGTGTAGGTCTATTAGGTTATGTTGTGGTGATCCTCGAGTTGGGGGATGGGTGTTCATACTGGAGTGCAAAATCAAAACCAATGGAAGATGGACAAGAAAAGTTCAAAGCCAGGTGCTCAGTTTAGAAAAAAGAGAAAAGAAGAGGAGGAGAAACGAGCAAAAGATGCAGGTAAGCAGATGTGTCATTGGATAATGGCAGGTATCCTGAAAGAATCAGAATACTTCATTAATCCCTAAGGAAATAATGTGGGTTACAGTTGCTCCAAAGAGAAATGGTAAAAAACAGTAACAGTAACAGACTAAACTCCAAACAATACATTATGTTACAGATTTTAATATTAATTAGTCATTGTCAATTGTTGATTTGTCCTGTTCTCATTGTATGACGAATTATGATGGCTGTTTGGTAGCCGTTTGCATACAATGCATACTCTCTTCATATGTGTGTGTGTGTTTCTCTGGTGAAATTCAGTATGGTTCCGACAACAGTTTTATGTTAATGTACAATCCTTAATATGTTTTGTGTGGGGGGGGGGGGGGGGGGGCGCCAGAGGGAGTGTTCGCCCAGGGCGCCAAACAGGCTAGGACCGCCACTGCTCACACAAGTGAGTTACATGTCACACCCGTGACAAGTCACTTACCATTGCAACACACAAAGGTAGTCATTTGGCTGTCAGCAGTTGTGAAAGTCATCTGACCTTGTATAAAAAATTCCTTAAAATGTTTTTTTTTTCTCCCCACTGACTCATCCCTGGCCAGGGTACTCCAGTCAGATTAGTACACCACCTGCTTTGTCTCACAAAGGGAGGAAGGGAGGCGCATCCGTGATATCGGTTCCAAAGCAAACACGCAGACAGGCGACCCCCTAAGAAAACAACTCCCCTACCTTTACTTTGCCTCAGTAAAGGGTAAGGGCATTTTAACTCTACACATGGCTATTCAACTACGAAGTTAGTTGGGCCAGATTTTCAAACCGAGGAATTTATCTGGGCCAGATATTTTTTTTGAAGCCAGTAAGCAGCAGATCATGATCAATTTCAAACCCACACAACTGTATTGAAAAACAAGTTTTTTTTTTATTCCTTTTCCCCTGTAAATCTGGTGACCTCTCACAAATGCACACCAAAAGGTCCATTTAAAAAAAGGGAGCTATAACTAAACTATTTTTTGCACATTTGAAATAATAATAATAATAACAAAAAACATTTTGATAATTCCTTTTCAAATTAAAATAAATATTTCGCTGACCACTCGCTTTTCCTGCCATGGATGGAGCCCCATCCGTCACAAGTATACAGACACGCTTCATATCCAGACCATTTTCCTCAAAAAGAGCTTAAATCTTCTCAAACATTATTTCGCCAGCTGTGTGTCCCTCTAAGCCGAGCAATTTCCCATCCAAAAAACGGACATGTGCGCACAACTGTGCATTATCAGTTCTGTCTGTGATCTCCTGCTATAGACATTACATCAGTTTTCTTCAGGTCATCTAACAGCATTTCAAACTCGTCTGACGCCAGAACTTCAACTCTACGAATATTTGAACTGTCCTACAGGGGTACGTTTTTAATAGCAGATGTCACACTCACTTTTCACCGCATCCACCACGGCCAGCATGCAGTATTTCATTGTTTCAGAATCTGTGAAAGGCCTTTTCTTCTTCGCCAAGAAGCAAACACGAAGGGAAGATGCTGCAGCTCTCTCTTGGGCTGTACAGGACCCTCACCATGGTAGTACAACTCCGGTTGTAAGATTATTAAACTCGGTAAAATGAATAAGTATTTGTCAGTCCAGGCAGGGTTAAACCGACAGTTTTCATTGTCAATTTTGCGCTTTTGGAGTGAGAAAGACATGCTGTTGTCGCATCATATATTACGATGATTGTTTAATATGTTTACATCACGGTGCATTGTGGGTTAAATATTGCTAGGCTACTAGGAGTGTTGCATTCACAGTCTACACTACGCTGTAGGAATTTTTAATTTTTTAAAAATTAATTAATGAATTAATTTTTTGCGTTTTCTCTGTGTTTCTGCCAGGACCACAGGCAGGGCCACTCGCAGGTTGCTTCTGGGCCGCATTTGGCCCGCGGGCCGCCATTTGAATAGGCTTGCTCTACACCGTCACTTTATAGCCCAATAACGGAGTGAGTTTAAATATTTCGCTCCGAAATAGTTTGTATGATTTGTCCCTTGCTCGCATATTAAACTGGTCTAACATTTGACCAGCTTTCATTAAAAGAACAAACAAACAAACAAAAGCATATCAGAACATTTGGGTCAGCGAGAAAGAAGAAACGATGACATGTACTACGGAACTCTAACCGCACTTATGTAGAAGAAGGGGTGGTGCTATGGGGCTGTAATAGAGACAGAATCTTTGCTCTAAAGCTCAGTTCAGTAACGATGAGTAACACTCGACACTCACTAAAATGCCACGATCTAACAACCATCTGGGATAAGGCGCAACAAACATGCATCCCGTGTGCGAAACCCCTATAAAGCCAGGTAGGTCAATATTATATTATATTATATTATATTATATTATATTATATTATATTATATTATATTATATTATATTATATTATATTATATTATATTATATTATTATTCATGTAGGTCATGAAATTACCCCCAACTGTGGGTTTGATGATGACGGAGGGCGACACGAGGCAACAACAAAACCGTGCAAGACAAACACTTTTAACAATGGCAGCAGCTTCCACTGCACACTCTGTAGCCTGTGTCAGTTTCAGACTGAGAGACCTTGCAACACAACAGCTGACACCGTTTGCGGCAAGGTGCCTGTTACGCAAAGGTAAGACAACAAGCACATCACCGTGAGAAACAGGTAAACAGCTCAGGGGATGTGATGGTCTCTCTGAACCGCAGGGGATTTTCATCAAAGTGTGTGTGTGTGTGTTTCACTATCTCTTTTACGGCTTAATAAGCAGGCACAATAAGAGCGCTTTCCTCTTAAAACTCTCGCTGTTTTATCTACAGACTTTCATTCCTCCCCACCCCTTTTCTGTTTTTCTGCAGAATCCCGACAACAGATTTCCCTGTCACAGTGAGTAGGCTTTTTGCATTTAGTGTAAATTGTAAATTTTACCAGTAATAAATAAATATATAGGGGTTGCCTGTCTGTGGCAGTAGTGGTACTAAAAATATGAAACACAACAGAAAGAAGCAACAGAAGATATCTGTGGAGAGTTGGTTAAGAAGGAGTTTCTTCCTCATCAGCAACAGCCAAAACATCCATTCTGTTTTCATTCCAGACTCTGGCATATCAAGGACCTAACTTGACACCAACCTCACCACCATCACGTTCTCACAATGTGTCATGGGCAGCCTGTAAGTTACGCGTGCACTTCACTGTACACCTGAGACACCTTTCTTGACAGTTACATTTAAATGTAACCTTGACTTTTTCCTGTGTCTGCAGGGGCAGTACCATTAGCCATTTTAATTTCCATTGTGCTCGTTGCCTTGTCTGCTTATGTGTTTGGTCTCAAACGGAAAAGAGGTATGTATACCGAAACTAGACGATCGAAGATAAACAAATGTGCACACATCAAGGTCTTGGGAACTTAAGAAAAGACATAAAAGCTGACCACTGGGTTTATAAAGAGAAGTTGCCATAAAATGTTACAGAATGTAATTTTACAACCAATATAGTAGGGTTATTTTAAAATAACTTTAAAATACCCTCTAGCTTCAAGCTGGTGAATATGATTCTGACACTCTCTCTCCTCTGCCTTATGTAAACAGCAAAGGCTTTTTGCAGGCAACCCTCATATATAAATGACGGATTCGCCCCCCTGACAGGTTCATCTAATGGCAGTGACGTAGAGGAGATACTTTGTGAGTCGAACTTAATGTTATCTCAAAATATACAACGCCTATCCAAACCACTGTCTAGTGAGGGATAAAAGTGGGCGGAAACTGCCATTTTGTGTTCCTGTTGACGAATGAAAGTCTGTTTCATTAACCTACTGACATCATTCATCGATGCTCTTTTTCCCCTTTCAAATGCAGGTGCAGACATCCTGTCTGCACCTCTACAGTCCGTGCTGGACAACTTGGATGTTTTGGAAGAGCTGGTGATTTTGCTGGATCCAGAAAGCCATGTAAGAAAGAGCACAAAACATCTGGCGTCGCACTGCGCCTTCCCCTCCACCTGGATTACTTACACCTACTCTATGAAGGACAGCAAAAGCCCCCTAAAAGCTGTGCTGGAGGGGGTGACCTGCAAGAACCCCGACTGGACTGTAGGGCACCTGGCTAAACTGCTCAAACACATGGAGCGCAATGACGCCATAGCTGCTCTTGCAAAACTTAAAACAAATAAGACTGAAGTGTAGCGACTGTTTAGCCCGACTCCCAAAAAGGCTGCTACGAGCACGGAGAGAAGCGGAGCGATAAAAGGCATGCCTTATGCGTCCAAGTTGATGACGGGGGAAGTCAAGCATTCCATAAAAAAATTAAATAGTTTCTTCCATATTTGCAGCTTCATTTGTTATTACGTTTGAATAATTAATGTATTATTACCTACCTCCTGGAAAACATTTAACCTCGACTGCTGTATCCCAGATAAACTGCTTAACACGTGCATGAAGGACAAAGCACAGAATCAGAATTTTAGCCAGGCTTTATCTTTACCCATCCAGCTAACGAGATGCCTTTTCCTCCAGTGAACTCAACCAAAATTCCACAGTTCCTGTTTTCCCCACCATCATATTTACCGCGATAGTATTCTTGTCAAAATAGAACAAATGAGTAATGTTTTTTTAAATGTTAATCTGTTTCCAATTGTTGTTGCCTTTATAATACTATTGACCTATGCAAATAAAATCATTCAATCAGTCATTTCATCAAACATCTTAACATCTTTATTAAGCAAATAACATTATAAATAAAAAAAGTGCATAGAAAAATTAAACAGGTTTAGAAATATGTATACAAATATTTACAAACTCAGGGTTTATTTGTACATGGTAACAAAGACGTAAATTTAAAGAGCACATATTTTCTCATTTTGATGTCTTTTACACTTACGTTAAAATAACCCTACTATATATATATTTATATGTATATTTATATATATGTGTATATAGAACATACAGCTTTCTTAACAGATTCTGGGCGAGATGGTCATGATAACTTCAGGTTTTGACTAGTGCCTTGCATCCTTCATGGCACGCACGCACGCACACATACATAGAAATGACAAACATTTCCAAATACACACACACACACACACACACACACACACACCTGGATATTAAAACCAAGCTATTTTTTTTTTTAAATCATCATCCTCTCTTTTTGCATCAGTATTCCCAAACATCTGTCTAAACAGCTGAGGTAGAATCCTTGCAAGGAGTTGGGAGTGACTCTGCTCTTGTTATCAGCTAGGTGATTGACACAAGTTAACCTGGGCTCCATCCCAGTGATTGGACATGCAAGGTGGGGGGAGGGGTGGGTGGGTGATAAAAGACAAAACATGACATAATTTTGGAAAACATAATTATGGGCTTGAGTAGGCAAACAGTGCTCACTTTACTCCTGTGGCTGATTCTAAGACCATCAGTAATCTACATTAAAAAAAAAATAAAAGTAAAATAAAATAAAGATTCTTTAAAAATACCTGCTTTAGAACAATCTGTCATAAAGGCTTAATCGCACACCACAACTGCCCCAAAGAGAGAAAAAAAATTCAAGTAAGTTAGTGAAACAAAAGACATGATGTGTAAACAAAGCATACATATGGGAAAGGGGAAAGGGGAAGGGGGGGTTCACTAGACCGCCACCAATTTGTACAAAGCACAACCTTTAACCATTTAAAATAGAAATCAAAACATGAATAAATATAACTACCAATTTGAACAGTGTGTGAATTCAATTAGCCTCACCAATGACACCACTGAACATCCACCTACAACAATCATTATTTTAAAGGCAGCAATACCCAGAAAAGTCACGCACCTACACTGTCTTCTCGACCATCGCGGTGCAGGAGCTCAATGTACATGCTCAGTAGCAATGCCTTACACCAGTGCCCTCCCTGATCAAGAGAAACTGCAGAAGATTTCACGAAGATGAAGATAATTTGGATGTTTGATGGGTAATTATGTGCAACTGCAGGGCAGCAAAGTCTTATTGCAATAGGTAACGATGAGCATCTGCCATGAGAGTATTAAAATATATATATTTTTAAAAAAAGAAAGAAAGAAAGAAAAAGGAAGGAAATCTTCAATTTTGGCTTGGGTAGTGTTTTGCTACATACACTTTACATGAAAAAAAAACAACCAAAGAAAGAAAGAAAAAAAAATACCAAGAGGACGTTTCTATGACACTGTTTTTCTGCTCTGAAACCAGACACTAATTTTACACTCAAGACAGGAAGAAAGTGGGTGACGAATAGCAGGTTTTGAATGTGAGATTTTAAAGATAACAACAGGAGGACTTATAAGAGTGCATAAATTTAAGATCTCAGCAGGGTAAAGAAAGAGCTAAACAGTTCCTGATTCGCAAGACATCTTAGTCCAACTAAAGACAAAGCTTTTAAAAAGCTTAGCACCATGTTTTTGTTTTGATTTTCTGTTATTCACAAAAAAGACAGAAAAAAGGAAAAAAAAAAAAAGGGAAAGCGTTAACATAAGAAGTACTGAATCGTACAAATAAAGGTCTGGGTGATGTATGGCTTGAGAACTGACTTCACAACTACAGGGATGGAGCTGTAATGTAATGTGACAGATAAGGCTTGATCTGAGGTTATCTGCTCAAATCCAGAAACTCTCCACACTTTGAAATCTCCAGTTGTCACGAGCACCCAAAACTACTTCCTGTGATTTAATTACAGCTGCAATTACATTATTCGGGGAGCCATACCTTTTAGTACACTGTGAGGCAAGAAACTCTGCAAAGTTTGTTTTTTGTGCTGGTTCTCATCCTCTTCCGCTTGACCCCTCCCCCCCCCCAAAAAAAACAAAAACCCCCAAAACACAAACAAACCCAAAAAAACAAAAAATGTCCTCACTTCTCACTAGCCATGTTTCTGGCCAGTCTCATAGTGGCTTAATCCCCCTGCTGGGCAGACTGACCGCAGCCTCCTCAAGCCCCAATCCAGTGTCACCACAATTTAAGGCTTACTAGTAAACAGGATCCTCCCCCTTTTTGTATCCAAGAGATTTCTTAGTTGAGGAAACGACGACATCTCCGGGCCCCACAGTTACAGTTGAGTTTGTTGCTGGCGTCTTCGATGGGGAACTTGTAGTCGTAGGTGAGCTCCTCCCCCCTGTAGATTTTCCTAAGAGCGAAGATGACGATGTGCTTTCGACCTTCCACGTTGATCACTCGAGAGTAGCAGTTAGGTTCACATGAGTGGTTGATAAACCTCGCCGCGTTGCCATGCATAGTCGCATCCACTACGTCGAAGTCATCGATGCGGAACATGTAACAACCGATACCCTGCAGGGAGCAGAAATGAAACCTGTTGGTGTTTTTCATGAAATCTCTCAGCATGAACCGCCAGTTGCTATGAAATACTTGACCAAAACTAGAATGACAATGATGAAGATGCACAAACCTTCCCATCATAGTACTTCTCCCTTTTATCAGTGAGCACGGAGCGAATGACGATGCCCGCGTATTCGATAACCATCTCTCCTGCTTCAATGTTCCTCTTGCAGAAAAGACCACGGCCGTGGATAGCAGACCTACAGGAAGTGTTATCAAGATGAAAACTGATTGTAAAGCAATAGGAAGATATTTAAAAAATCTATACAATAACACATTTGTATATTATATTGCTGATACAGGCCAAACTTTAATGTGTCCACTTTTTTAGTTTACAATCTTTTACCTTTGCATGAATGTTGGCACACAAGCACTAACATGGTAAACACAGGAGCTAGGGCTATACCCAAAATATATACCCAAATTCAGCCACTTTGATCTTTTTTCATTTTATTGAGGTTTTTTTTGTCTTATTTTAATATAAATGGTAAATGGACCAGCTCTTATATAGCTTTTGCTACTCAAGCACTCAAAGCACATTATATGCCTCATTCACCAATTCACATACATTCTTACAAGCACTTTTCTCTATGCTTTGTCTACTTAAGTACTTTCTATCTAACATTCACACAAATTCAAACTCCAGTGGATGCACCGGAGGCAAGTTCCTGTTGCATGTGATGAACTCAGACATCTAATTGTTTCATCGTGTGTCTCTTTAAAACCAACACAGGATACGACTTGTCTCTCTTTGGAATCTTATCATTTCCACACTTCGTTTGATTCCCAAAAAAATCTCATATTTTTGGAAAATACGGCACACTTAAAATCACTCCTTTGATCTTTCTAAAAATCAACAGTGCCCCTTATAACCCCGTGTGCCTTATGTATGAATTCTGGTTGTGTTTACTGACCTCGAAACGATTTTATGTGCTACACGGCGCTCGAAAATCTATCAAATGTTTTAGTACGACTTTGCTGAGCTACGAATCTGCACCGTTTGATGGATTGTCGGAGCATTACGGCTATCATAGTCAGGAGCCTCGTGGAGTGATACGTACTGTGCTTTAACATAATATTACCGTATTGTGTGTGTATAACCTCTGTGGATATTATACATGGTTATGCTGAGGATATGTTATTGTTATCGCAAATTTTCTAATGTATATCGTGATAAATATTTTTGGTCATATCGCCCTGCTCTACCCTACATGCTCTTTGTCACTAGATTTTGACACTTTTCTCAGGATTGCCCCCACCCCCACCACTTCTCCTTTTGTGCTTCCTGGGTAGCAGTGACATTACAGAGTGACTAAGCTGTATTGTGCAGTGAAAAAAAAGTTTTCTGTTTAACAAGACCTTCTTTCTTAGAAATTAAGTGAGGTCACAGTGCAGCCAATGTCTTGCAGAAGTACTTGCAAAACGTGTTAAATGCGGCCAAAGTATAAACAAAGAGTAGGAATGTTTTTGTAGTTTCTTTAAAAAGCTCTCGTTGAACAGGCTGTCTCCGTAATGTCTGGCCAAGGCACTGTTTCATTTCCCAACGGCTGCTTTTTCTTCAGCCTCACTAGGATTAACATGAAACAGATGTTTGAACAGCTGTTAGCAAAAGCAGAATTGTTGTGCATGTATGCCAGCTATGATTCATTTGTGTGGAACAATGGTTTTGTGTGACTCTGTTGTCTGGCTAGCAATAATGACACATTACTGCCAAAGAGCTGTTACTTGCATTCAAATGACTATCTATGCCATTTAAGTCATGTGGTACTCATCGCCACAGAATGGTAAGAGCTTTATATTGTAAGGAAAAGACCCTACAATAATAGAGAGGAAACCCCACTTGGTGACAGGGGGAAAGAAAAACTCCTTTTTAATATACAGAAACCTCTGGTAGAGCTAAAGGCTAAAATGTTTTCTCCAACTTGCTTTTCCATTAACATGATCACAGATACAATTCTATACTACACTGTAAAAAATAGTCATACATATTAAACTTAGACAGGTAAACTGAACAGAAAATGTTTTAAAGAGTCATCCATACTGGAACAAAATAAAACAAACTGGACTTCAATGCTGAATATTCATTGAACATCACTGAAGGATGCTTTTTTCAGTTTTGAATCCTCCTGCTCACGCTGCTCTTGACAGGGAATGCTTTGGTTTTCTCTGTTAATCTTATAAATAGGCAATTCTTTGGAATCAAACCAAAGTGTGAAAATGATAAAAGATTCCAAAGAGAGACAAGTCATATCCTGTGTTGGTTTTAAAGAGATGGAAGATGACACAGTTAGAGCTCTGAGTTCATTACATGCAACAGGAACTTAAATGCCATACTGGCATTAAGATTAAGAAGTGAAACCAATTCTGAGGGTTTTTTTTTTTTTTAAATATTTGTGGCTTTTGCAGCCAAGGCTATGAACTTTAAAAGCTTTAAAACTATGATGTTGTCAACTGAGTATTTTAAGCATTGTATAGCAATGCATTTTACTATTTCATGTAGCAATGATGAATTGCAAATGTAACTCGCCTGTACACTCCTACTGCCTCCTTGGAAGTCTTTTTCAGATGTCTGAAGCGCATGGCCATGGGCAACTCCAAACTGGTGGCTCGTCTGATAAAGGGAGCAGAAATTAATTGACCCAAAACTTCAACACCACTGTTTTGCAACATACTAAAAAAAAATGACAATAGTCAATATATTTATGAAAAAGTATATTTTAGTTTTGAAAAAAAAGTGGTGTGCAGTTACAATAAGAAGCTGCACAACATATTTCAGAGAAAAGCGGTTTGAAAGTCCTAATATGGCATTACAATCCAGGAAATATAAACTAAAGCCTGACCTCGTGGACTTCAAAAGAACCTCGTCTTCCTCATCATCGTAAGGCCCAATGTCAGGAAGCTGTCTGTGCTGAGAAGCCAGGAAGTTGAACATATCAAATGTAGACTTCCTGTTGGAACAAATAAACTGCTGTTAGTTCTAGAAGAGTTATATCTTTCTGACTCACTCTCTCCAGGATGAATCCAACAGCCCTTTTCCATTAGTACCTACTCTGGGTGGCTTTACATGAGGTGACAGTACCAGTACCTGGTGACAGTACCAGTACCTGGTACTGTCACCCACCTAATTGATAGTACTGGTA